GAATTTGAAGAGGAGGCAGAGGAGGAAGTTGCATGAAGATCTCTCTCCTCTCCTCTCCTCTATTCTATTCTATTCTACTCTCCTCTATTCTATTCTACTCTACTCTACTCTCTCTTCCTGCCCATTACTACTACTCTTTATTCCAACCAGTCTTCTGAACCATACTGGACCATATTGCCTGCACTGGCATAGACTTGGAACATTCTAAGCCAGCCTAAAGGAGTTAAGAGTGGTATCATTTAAGGCCTGCCTGCCTATCTCATTCTGCAAGGTGGAATAATACATATAGGATTACTGTGTTGGTGTGGGGAAGAAGAACAGGCTTCTCAGTTGTATTCAGGAATGGTAGCCAATGGTAATGTTTCTAGCTAAAAGCACTACCAACCTATTTTCTCATCTTATCCTCTCTTTCTTCCCCCCACTTTCTTTTCCCTCTGCCCAATATCTCATGCACTTCCCTTTGTGATGTCTGTCTTGAGTGTTCTGTATGGTCATGTGAGCTTTTGTTTCCAAAGATGAGTACGCACTAACTCGCAATTTGCATTTGTTTTTGGTTTCTTCATCCATGTTGGGCTTAAAGGAAAGATTAATGGAACCAGGGGGGTTGAGGGAGGATGGGGCACTGTCCTTTAGCATGAAACATAGTCCCCCCCTTTGAGTGTGTTTGCTATCAAAGAATTGTATGTCTCCACAATAAACTACTGAATAATAATTCAGGCTAATGTTGGTTTCAGAAATTGTTTTGTTAAATCTGCCTTTAAATGCATGATTTGCTCACTGTGTCTATTAATGTATTGCATTTATATATCATTTTGGAGTTCGAGATGGCATACATGATGATCTCCTCTAATTTTTATCCCCACAACAACCCTTGTAAGAGCATTCTCGGAGTCTAGGGAAGAAAAAGGTTTTCAAAACATAGCAGTCAAGGATTTGATGGGCATTTCAGCTTTATCTCTTATAGAAGTTCAGTCTGTGAGGGAGTCTGTGAGAAAGGATGGAACAGCTCACAGGGTATTCACTAATAAATGAAGGCTGGAGTATACTTATATAGTTTCCAAGATTCTGTAACCTAACCTATTTTCCTGGCACTAAACCTGATTAATGAGACTGTGCAAACCTACCTTCCTTGGTCATGTGCTGCTATTAGGGGCTTAACAACACTGCGAGGTGGGCTGAACTAAGGTCAGTTGACCCAAATTTATCCAGGGAGTTCCATGATTGTGTTGGAACTTGAACTTGGGTCTCCCCAGTCCTTGTCCAACCCCATAACCACTATGCTATGCTGCTTTTCCGAATGGAAAGGCAGTATGACCCTCAGAACTGGGAAAGGCATAATTGATTCTCTCTTTGCTTTACTCTGAAGATTTAACCTGATTGATTGATTGATTGATGATGTGCCATCAAGTTGCTTTTGACTCCTAGCGACCACATAGATCTTCTCCATGACAGCCTATCTCTGACCTGTTCTTTCAAATCTCCCAACACTGCACTCATTGATGTCTATGCTTCAAATCTGGGACTACTATTACGAGGGAAGGGGGATGTAAGTTACGGGGCATGCGCGAGATAAGCTTGGAAGGCAGATTAAAGTCAGTTGAGCGGAGCAGCCTGTAAGTACTGTTGATGATAAAATCTGATTAGACTTCACAGACGTTTTTGGGGCTATGAAAGTCCCGCAGCAGATGCAAGGTGGGGCAAGTAGCAGAATGCAAGTAGCAGAATGCAAAGCAAGCAGGCTTGGGTAGTGGAACAGGTCTTCCCTGCATGGTATGACTGCCTGATTAACAGTGCAACTCCTTTGGGGTAATTACACTGAGAGTTCCCTGCAGCACTTTCTCTTTACTGCTTTCAACTCCAGAATCCAATGGAGCCAGTAACTGAGAAATTACTGCTTGGTTTGGATCAGTGCAACCTGGATAATGCCATTAGTTAACATGAGATGCAAACTTTGGCTTCCTTAGAGTCTTGGCTTCTCTTAGTTTTTGCCTTCCCAAAATATTTAGATATGTGCAAGTAATGCCTACTATGGTCAGTGTGGTATAGAGGTTAAGGTGCTGGACTAGACGGGGAGACCCAGCTTGAAGTCCACCCTGAGCAATGAAAGTTCCCTTGGTGACTCTGGACCAGTTGCTCTCTTTCACCTCAGTTTACTTCACAGGATAATTGCTAGGATAAAAAAGAAAAAAACCCTGTGCAAATCACCTTGAGCTTGGGGAAGAAATTTGAGATATAAATAATATAAATAAGCAGGGACTTCCAAAAAAGGTAGAGATGTTGGGTAGGAGCATTTCCCCCCACTCATCTCCTTTTTCCCTGAGGGCAAAGTTGCAATATCTACCAAATTGATAGTCTATTTCCCTTTCATGATGGCCTCGGTCAAACGCCTCCAGGTGCTAAATAGCACCTCAATACACTTTGACTGACACTCATTGTGATGGAATGTCATTTGCAAAATTTGCCCCTTCTGATTTTCAGTGGCAAATGGCTGGGTTTACACCGAGTCTCAAGGCAGTCACACAGCTCTGTTTAAGCATTGTAAGGCGTGCCTGTAAGCATGGAAGGGATGTGTACCCACTAACCCAGCAGCTTGGATCCTTGAGTTTGTTATCCCCCGTTAATCTGAAGCCATGCAAAAGTTACCAGTTTTATATTAAAGATAAAAGAGGATGGGAGTTACTTTACATTTCTTGCAAAATGTCATTGCTCCCAGCTATTGCATTATTACCTTCTTATTTACCATTAAAAACTATATAAAACATAAAGTATGATGTTACTATGCAAAGGCACTTTGTATCCTTTACCCATTGCATAATAACGCTGGGAGGTAGTTGGTAGCCAACAGGGAAAGTAAGACCAAAAGGCAGTGTTATTCTGTCAAGGCTGCTGCTGGATGCTCCAATAAGAGACTATTGCTTTTGGCATGAAAATGTCAGATTTGCAACATACTACGGATAGTTGAAATGGCCTTACGCTAAGGAGCCACTTGACCATCTAGCTAACTCAAGATGGCATACTCTGGCAGCAGCACTCCGAAGTTAGCGATCCTTCAGCAGTGCTCTCCTGCCTGCAGAGGAGAAATCTGTGGTCTTCAGTACGCAAAGCATTGTACCATCTGAGTACAATACAGAGTATGCTTGTACTGGCCTGCCTTTGATGTCCTAGAAGCATTAGTGCCTGTGCATTAAACCAGCTAATATGTTTCTCTGGGCATTTCTCCATAATTTTCTTTAACTCTTGCTTGCTTTTCCCATCTAACTGAAGTGGGAGGCACATTTGGGATAACTCTAACCCTTAATTCTTCTAACCCTTAATTCTGATTGGATTATTCTTCTTGAATGTGCTTCATTTTCCTCCACGTTACTGGTTAGCTGCCCTTCATTCCTCCTAATAGGGTAATGCTGCATTTGATGAAAAAGCTACAGAAAAAAAGAAAATCTGGGCGATGTGAGTTTTCTGGGCTATATGATAGTCCTCTCTTGTCACCTCCAAGACTTGGGAGAAGTGTTAATTCTACTGGGGGTTGGAGGATCGTCAAGATCTGTCTTAGAAGGGTGGGTATCATTAATATGCCATCACAGGGAGAAATTTAGCAGAAATGTTTCACTAGTGACTGCTACCAAGAAAAGACTAGTTTGGCAACATTTTTCGAGGCCCTTCAACTAGGCCTCCACAGCGTTGCATCAGGATTGCGGTATTTTTCTCAAAACATCTCCCAACCTCAATCCTCTTTGCTCTTGCTTTGGTGAAATCTGGTGTCAGCTGTCCCACTACAAAGAGGCGGCCTTCACTACCCCATGGCCTTTCAGGCCTCACAATGTGCCTCTCTGTATGGGTTGGAAAGAAGTGTGTGACTGGGCACCACCTGTGCTATTCTTTGGATTTTTTGTTTACGTTCCTCATGTGGCATTGACTCCTATCTGAATGGCAGGAGCCAGAATGAGAAACAGACAAGGCAAGCATAGTATTTTGTTTCCCAGGTCAGAAAAATCCAAATACCACCTGAACAATATTGATGGGAGAAGCAGCCGGGAGCGGGGGGCAGTTATCTTGCCACGGACCCACGGGGGCCCATTTAGTACCATAGGTCCCAAAGGCTGAAGGCATTCTTGTGACATTAGTGAGGTGCACAGCCAAACTAAGCTGAACATAGGAGATAGTGATTCACCCATCCTTTGCCTGACAGACCTCAACAGCTATTACAGCCCACTGTCTTTTATTATAGATTTCCTATTCAGTGACCTGTCTGTTTCCATAATGGTGCTTTCGGATTCTCCATCAGCCATCCTATTCAACAGGCAATGCAATACTTCAGCATGGTTCACTTAAAGTAACACAAATATTAAGGCCTTTTCCCCTTCTTGGGGACTTCTCATATTGTCCATAACTCGAGAGAAACAGCTGGGCTTTTCCCCCAGTGAAAGGCATTCAGATCAAGAGCACCCACTCCCATTTTTAGGTATTTGGGTATTGGTGATAATATAACCAAGTGCCAAGATATTTTGACAATCGGGCTGATGCTAGACATCTGACGCTGAAGGGGTATAATGGTGCCCAAGATATTGGGGGGGGGCACCTGTATGTAGATGTGTGTGCAAGGGGAGGGTATAGTGGGCTGTGAGAATAACCTGGGGAGACCAGAGGAAGAGCCGCAGCCTAGACAGCAAGAGACATCTGAACCCAAAGGAGGAATGGAGGTGGAGAAAGCATCTCAGAAGGGACCCTTGCTAGCTTTCTGGAAAGTGAAAGGCAAGATGGGAGCGATGCGCTTTCGGTCTTGCAAGATTCTGTTACTTAACCTTACAATAAAGGTAGCGAGTGTTAGTTCTCATGGTTTTGGTTTCCTGTCTGGACTACCTCGAAGGGCTGACATGGAGGATGAATGTGCAGCAGTTCAAACATAACTTGAGGCAGCCTGTGTTTAACCGATAATAAAGTTCACCTTTTACAAAAGATGTCTTGCACTTGCCAATTATCCCAGA